ACTGCACGAATGCTGCCTGGTATTCACAGCCTGGGCTCATTTTCAGAGCCTGGAATGCACTAGCCACCTGAGCTGGGGCAACTGTCTGGAACCATTTGTGTCTCTCTGTCCTCAGCTTTCCGATGTGGCCAGCCCAAGTGGACCCAATGGCATCTGACGGGCGCTGGCTGGCGATGAGGAAGGCGCTCCGTAGGACGGGATGGTCCATCCCAGTCAGCGCTGGGTTGCCCGGAACTGGTGCTCTACGCGGACCGACCAACTGATCGAGTCTAAGTGACCGCGTGACTACACATCAGTCCCTACAAGCTGCCTGCCCGAGAGGCATTGCACACGGCTGGGGGAGAGACGTCTTCCAACAACACACTGGAATGACTGAAACTAGCTTGGACTAGCCCTGTGTTTCATCAACATTTGCCACAGTAAATCCCGCCCATCAGAAGATGGAATGGGCAACGTCTGCGCACTCACACAGCTGTCTACACCTGCAAATATTGGCACGCATCATACTCACGTCTACAGCTGTATCTTGATGTGGAATGTAGCCAGCAGACGGTGGGCAGGGGGGCAACGTCAGTGCCCTGCACGATGCTTCTCGGTGGCTTTTGACTTCTTTGGGCTTGCAAGCAGGGATTGTTTGCAACAGCTGTCATCCCGTGTCTCTGCACAGTCTGCGTGGTTCGTAACACCGGGTGCCTATTAGAATTCTCTGGGGACCCTTGGAAACTGCCCTGATGACCACCCTTCACTCCAGATCTGAAGGTGCCTGAAAGTCACTGGTCTTCTTAAAAGCTCCCCAAGGCATTTCAGTAAGCAGCCAGTTTGGAGAGTGCCTGACCCGGGGTCGTGCTCATCATCAGAGGTTGTTGTTCAAAGGTCGATCTTTAAGTGTCACCTTCATCTCAAGCTCAAATAACTTTCCTCCTTTGGGCAATGTTGAACTTTCCAAACAGTAACAAATTCCCTTGATTTTTCTTCCTCAAATCTACTTCTGGACCATAAATATGCCCTTGAATATCTCTCAGTTCATGAAATGACTTCAAATCCACAGATTTTTCTTCCATATAAATTCAGTTTCATTGGAACTGTTCGAAGCAGACTTGTTAGGCATACAGCCATCTTAGGAAACAATGCCTTGAGTGAAACTCAAGCCAGCCTCAAATGCAGATCGAGTGGGTCATTTCTGTAGTGTTAACGTGAAACTCAGCCTAAAACAAATGCATTCAGCCTTAGGGAAATGTGCAAAAATATGCAACACTGCCTTAAAACTAATTTAATTGTGTCTTTTAGATGCCCTTCTGCCTACACATGCTGGCATGCACACGTGATCAAATTACACAGAACAAAATGCACACACAGTGTGCTCCTGTAAAACCCAGTGAGATCCGAGTTAGCTCTATGGGGGCCGTGGTGTCAGTTTCCTAGCGCTGATATTGCGCTGTGGTTTTAGAAGATGCCACCACTGGGAGACGTGTCTTCCCACCGCTCAGGCCTGAGCTGGACTGTCCAACCCACACCGGTCTTACTGACCACCTCATACTCTAGAGCCTCTCATCCACTGCCTGGTCCAGCCGTGTTTTCTAGAATGGGGAGCCACTGCAAACAGTGTCCCACTCTACACCTTACTCAGGGTCCCACCTGTACACCTGGACCAGTTGCACAGCGGGAAACCAAGGACATGTCTTTGGATACACGATAGGTAAATAAATAAGTGATTTTGATGGAGAAAATAATGACCCAGTTTCCCCCGGATGACACGACATTATTTGTCATGTTTCAAGGAACACCATTCTCCTACTTTACCAGTAGACACGTTGCGTCCATTGCATCTCAACGTAGGAAACCCATGAAGCTCTCCACACTTTTTTTGGACACGGGAGATTTGAAGCTTTTGATGTTGTGTGTAATGTTGAGAAACACACCTACGGATGAATGCTTGTTTGCACTGCACAGCTCTCACATTTTATGGATACATGGTGGGGCGAGGGGCAATTTAAAACTGTAGACTTGACCCAAAAGAACGCCACTAAAACCATCAGGATTAATAGTTATAAATATGACCAAAGAACTCTGAAGTGTTGATTGTCAGACTCCAAAATACTTTCATTAGGATGACGAGGTCTTGTTACATTTTCCAGACCTCAAATTCCACTCATACTGACATGTAGAGCTAGGCTTTTTTAATCTCCCTGGCAGAAAGCTCATTTTTCTTCTTAAATGTTTTTTTTTTAAAGTAAATGAGTCTAGTCCACTGGGCAGATTTAAGGATACTTTATTACTGAATCAGTATGTACAAATTCTAACATGAAAATAATGAGTCACAGAATATCAGGCTATTTACAATCCTTTTTTGTTTTTTACAAAATGCTTGGTGGTTATTTTGTTGTTTTTTTTTTACAAGATTACTTTTCTCTAAATAACAGGACACAGACACACACGGAAAGCAAACTTCTTTTATTACAGACATAAATAAATATTGGCTTTCAATGGTCACTGTGAGGGAGGTGATTTCTACAGACCATCTGGAAGAGAAGGCAGCAGTCCGTTATCCGCACACTACAATATAATTAAGATAAAAAATAATACCTTTACACATAGACCTCTGGTAATCACGCTGTCCAACGTAGCTTCAGTCGTGGGTCCGGCGCTGAGTCTGGCCATGCAAAACCACAGCTAAGAGCCACCATCTCCATGCATTTCTCTGCATTTTAAATGAGTTTTAACATACATGCAACAGATAGCTAGCGCCTGTGTTCAGGGTACAATGTGGACCTCGTGTGACAAGTTAGAGATATCAGGGGTCGTGGGAATGAGTCAGCTGAGGCAGCCCGTGGCGCGCAGTGGGAGAAAAGGCATTCCATCAGGAAGTCGTCATCACAGATTTATGCAGACACAAGTCAGACTCCAGTCTCTGAAACAGGTTTTTCAGTGGATGTAAAAGACACAGTTTCGAACGTTGAAGTCCAAGGTAACTTTTAGCTGTCCCCCAGCTCTAGGGCTTACTACTGCATTTTACAGGGGTTCCTTGTACTGGGTACATTCTCATCTCATCAGTAAAGATCATTCTACCATGCAGTGATTCTCACCTGGGGGGGGTGGGGTGACTTTATGCCCCAGGAGGTAGTTGGCAATGTCTGGACAGTCGCTGGTTGTCACACCTTGGGGGAGGTGTGGCTGGCATCTGGTGCGTGGAACCCAGGGCTGTTGATCCCAGCTCCTCCCGTGCCCAGGACACACCACAGGCAGTAATCCAGCCCCCAAAGCCAACCGCGAGAGAGATAGTCTACAGACATGGCTACAGGTTGTTTCAGTTTCTAGGATGTGGATGTAGTTTTATACTTTGAATGTTGTTTCATAAACATTGCAAAAAAATTGCCTGTCCGACCTGATCGTCTCTAATAGGTCATGTTAAAACAATAAGTGGCTTGAAAGGGCATCATTTTTTAAAAATCGCTCCCTCTGGGCAGCCGGTTGGCTCAGTTGGTTAGAGCGCAGTGCTCATAACACCAAGGTTGCCAGTTCGATCTCCATGTGGGCTGCTGAGCTGCACCCTCCACAACTAGATTGAAAGAACTACCTGACTTGGAGCTGATGGGTCTTGGAAAAACACACTGTTCCCCAATTTTAAAAAAATGTTAAAAAAATCGCTCCCTGGAGTGCCACTTATAAAAAAGTGGGAAGCACAGATAAATTCATCATTAGAGTAAATGTTGTCCATGAAAAGTGCATAGCACTGCAGCATACATCACGTCAGCCAACTGAATTTGATGAGTTTGTATTGTGATGAGCTCAGTTTTTTAAAGAGAAAATGCTACCACCGAGCACATTTTTTCTCCTATGAGAGAAATGCATCTAATTTCAATAAACACTAGAGAATTAGCCACTTAAAACTTTTTTATGTTAAAAAAAACAGATGTTCTCCCTTTATTAGGGCACTCCAATTTTTATAATTCAAAAAAATATAATTATGTTTTTGCTCATTTGAATGTTACTGGAGATTGCTGAAATTCATAAAAGAAGCTTATGTTTCTTTTATTGCCTAATAGCATTTTTCTTCCAATGATACTAATAAAATTTAAATTATTGAACATTCTAGCAAAATGAGATGCTCATATGAGCACTTTAGATTTTTTAAGGACAGTGTAAGCTTCAGAGCCTTCATCCAAAGTAAAAATATATTTCCCCAACGTCTATTACCCACACAAAAGAAACATACTTAAATTTTATAAAATTAAACATATATAATAGTAATATGTTGTATCTATGTACATACTCCTGCGTTTTAAACTCTACAGCAGCACAAAAATTTGTGGGCACAAAGGATTTGCTCATAAAAATTAAGCGAAAAGACACACTTGTAGCTGATAATTGCAAGTCTTCATTTTTGGAATTTTAGGAATTTGCAGTCCAGATGCTGCTAACAGCACTAGAATCAATTGTAGTTTTAGAGACACACTCTATGATTTGTTTTGTTTTTCTCAAGCTAGGGGGTGTGTTTGTATTCTCTCCTTTCAAAATATATAATTCTTGGAACCAGGTGATTTCATAACACTTGTGGTTAAGTCCATCCCAGGCCATGTTCGGAGCTGCAGAAAACCTTATTCCGAACCCACATGCACTTGTATCCTCAGACTTCCACCGTATCACTTGTACAAAGCTGCAAGACATTTCGTGCATTATTCATTTTAATACACAGGAAACGGTGTTCAGTATCAATGATCGGGTATCCATGCTTACAGGCGGTGCTTCCCAAAGACAGGCATCTATTAATAATAATAAAAATGGTTTCTCTCCCTTTTGTGTCACATCTGCTTTGAGACCTGGCAGTGAAGCCTCGCAGAGTGAAGGCGTCCGGAGCTGGACAGCTGACCCAGCAGTGGCCAGTGCATGCTTTCAGGACACCACCATGCGACCAGGACCAAGTCCCACCAGCGACACCTACTAAGAATAACATTACTGAAAATGTCCCCATTTTACTTGGGTAGATAATGAAACAAGGAAGCTTTTCCTTCAAAATGTTTAATTTTGATAAATTGCTCTTTTCTCACAGGATCACATTGATGGGGAAAATATATTATCCATACAACCTTTAATCAGAACTATGTCTTTATCCACCAATGGTGAGCTGTGAAAACAATTTATTTAGTGATTCATATTCAAGATGTGTGCATGTGTATTTATATATACGTATATATGTGTGTATATATATATATACACACACACACATACATGCATGCACTTATAACTATATGCACACACATATGCATATTTCAAACCACATATGTGGGTATTCCCTCAAGAAAAATGACTAAATGAGACACTTCTGAGTTTAAGAATCACTCCAAATACACTGCAACACTAGATACTGATAACATGCTTTGACTTGAGTTCATGCTCTGAGGCAGTCGTTTGTAGCCTGGGGAAGTTTCCAAACAAAAACATATAATAGATTTGAAAATGTTAGGATAAACTGTCCTTCTCTATCAATCAATGCCCCCCTTTTTATACCACTGAGAATGATCTCCCGTACAAGTAGATTACTTTGATTCAGAAAAGGCAAATCTTGGTAAAGATTTGAAAATGTTCAATAGTTGGGAGGCTTCCCTTTTAAGCAGGAGGTTTTGTAAATTTTTAGATACAAGAGCACCAGCAGCTGTTTTCTGCATTAAGGAAAAACGGGAAATATAAATAACGTTATCAGGGAAATCTCTCATCTTCTAGGATGAAATATTAAAAAGACTTTTCATTTCTCCAAGGCAAAATCTGGATAGCAGCTTAATTCATGGACACTTTCCTGCTTTGGATGTCTCTCATAAATCATAATTTACGGATTGAACACTCATTTTTCTTTGTATACAAATTGAAGCTCAAGGTACCGGACCGTGGGAGCATTTTTAGATGTACATTAACTGGTCTATTTCAGGTTAAATATTGTAGTTAAAAGTCACATGTCATAAAAAAAATCATCTTACTCCAGATTTGAATAAATGGGGGCCTAAAAGCTGTATCATCTTTGTTGGTTTTGCAAATCGAAATCAATAATTTAATAAAAGTTCCACTGGTTAACTTTATGCTTCCTGTGCATATGAATTGTGTCTCTGTTACACCGATGTGTCTTGAGGATTTGCTGCTCGAAACTCAGGCAAATCGTAGTTCTGCAATAATTCCGTCGAGACGAACCAAGCCACACGAGTGCAGGATTTGCAGTTAAACTAGGCTGAGGGTTCATTTTTCTCCACTCTCACAGGAAATGGGTACATCGTTTCTGGCTCAAGATCTGATGCATCTGCGATTGAGGGAAGTAACCCAGTGTGCGGAAGTTGCATGGGAGAGGGACGTCTGTGGGAAAGAGTGACATCCGTGGGAAAGAGTGACAACTGCTTCCGGAAGTGCGCATGGCTTGGCCTGAAGCGGAGCAAGCTCCCATGTTCCTTCCGTGTTCAGGCATCATTTGGAGCAGGTTAGTATCTTTCTGGAGAAGGCTTGTGGCGATGTGCATGGTGTTGCTGCTTCAGGTGGGGCCCTGTGACAGAACACATGTGTCAGGCGTTTGGCTTTCTCTGTACAGAATAAACACATTTATGGGGCGTGAAGGCAGGAGACCCAGGCGGACGTGCCTCCCACGTCCATCTTCCTCTGGTCTCTCTCCCTTCCCCGTTTCCTCTCTTCCCTCTTTGGTTTCCTTGTAAAACCACACCATCACGAGAGAAAGGGGACAGACCTCCTTCTTTGAAGCTTAGTTCCGTAAGCCAGCCCAAATGCTCTTTCTTTCTGCAGAAAAGTTTCAAAATGAACGAATACTTTTATTCAACAGAATTTCGATAGAGGAATATTGGGGAAGTGGTCACCCAGTCCTTACAAAGGTCAGGGGCCCCCAAGCTCCCGTTGTGATAGGCTGTGGTGACCTTCAGATGCTGAACAAAACAGGGCACATTTGATCCGCCGTTTACAAAACAAAAAAATCAGAAGCAAAGCTAGGATTACTTCTCAGCTTTGTTATCAACATGCCATCCTGTAGACTTGACTTTTTAAGCTGGGAAAGAAATATATATTTAAAAATCAGCAAGAGGCTCATTGTTTTGAAACATTAGGTAACACGTTTTTTGGAAAAAGTTTACTTGGTTGAGCAATAACTCAAGTAGATTGATTTGGGTCTCATTATGAAGAAAAGTTATGTCATCTATTACAGTAAAGCCTATGTAATAATAAGTTGCTTAGCAAAATGTCATAAAAGTATTTCAGATTGATATGAGATTGTGGTTTTTTTTCCATATGTACTTACGGTGTAAAGGACAAGGGGAAAGTGTCCTTTATGTAGAAAATAAATGGAAGGAAGGAGAGGAAAAGAAAAAGAAAAAGGACAGGAGGCAGGAAGGAAGGGATGACAGAAAGCCATTAAGTGTCAGTCACACCGTTGACGCTAAAATGAAATCCAATAAGCAGATATAATTGGAGAGGAAGAATTTTCAGAGAAGGAGAATGCCCTGTGACACAGGAATCTCTACTTATGTAGTCTAGTTTTTCACCAAGACTTCTGTCTGTCCGGGAGCCCCCTCAAGGCAGGGACCTCCGTGGCCGGCACTCACTGTGTGCAGAAGACGGCGGGAGGTCGGGGGTCCGGAAGGTTTTGATGGTGGCTGGCCCTTCGCCCTCCGCGGTCAGCACTTGGACTTCCAGTCTATACAGGGTGGATGGCCTCAGACTGGGCACAGTGAGGACATAATGATCCTGAGGGAGTCACATGAACCGAGAAGCTCGTCAATGACCTTCTCAACTGCCCCCACTACATCCTCTCCCCCCCGTACCCCCCCCACACACAGCGGATGCACATGGTATGACCATTTCTTCCCCGCAGGAGGATAACACACAAACACACATTCTGTGGTTTTCAGCACCCCAGTGGGATCTGGACACTGTGTCTCCTGATTGCCAGGCATCTGTGCCAGGCAGTCCCGGCCTCCAGCTCCATGCCTGGGCAGCCTGGCACCCTGGGCAGAGTTACACGGCGCCAAGGGGCCAGTTCTCAGGGCTCACCCTTGGGAGCACGTGTTTCATTCCTTCACCTAAGACTTTCCCATGGTCTGCACTTTTCATCGGCCCATCTCGTGATGGGAATTCTTAATAATCCAAATTTCCGTGAACGAGCCAACTCTTTTCCCTTAAAACACAGTATCTGCCAGTGTCCAGGACTGAAAATGTGTATTTTTATGCCAACACCTTCTTCTCAAAACTCAACAAAACCTAATACATTTGTACAAGAACGACTTTCAAATTCCATGGCATTTTTCCTTCCAGGATTTAAGGTGGTTGTTGTTGTTGTTTTTTTCTTTTTTGAGCAGAAGTTGGATAGTTTAAGGCCATTTTTAAAGAGTGTAAAAGCCCATACTTGGCTCTTTGGTTTGGTTTGTTTTTTTCCAAGCCAAGGAAATAAGGGGCCTGGAAGAAAAACCAGCTCATTATGGGCTCTCGCCAAATTCGAAGGAGGAAAACAAGACAAACAATAAGCTCCTTTTAGCCACTTCCCCGCCCCCTCAAGCTAACACTTCCAACAAGGCATGTCCGCTTGGGCCAGAGGGACACGGGTTAACCAAGACCCAAGAAAGTGGCTAAATGTCTAGTGCACAATACGGAAACGACAAAATCTGCTGATGAGCTGGCTCTAGCCGCCAACACCTATCAAGAGGACAGCTCCTTGTACGCACAATGCCACTTTGTGATGTGCTGTCTCCTTGCAACATAAAACGCCCAGAGGAGAGAACGGAGACATGAGACGCAGCAGGGCAGCCCCGAGCATGACCAAAGCCTGCGGCCCCAATGGGCGTCACGCACAAGCCGCGGCCACCAGTGACACGGGGACGGAGTTGGTACCTACAGAAGGCAGGATCTGGGACTGCGAGATGATGCTGTTGGGCAGGCTGTTCTGTCTGCTCTCCGTCGTGACCTCGGCCCACGTCACCTGAAAGCCCGTCACGGGCTGGTACAGGTTGGCCTTGGCCATCTTCCAGGAAAAGTGGCCCGTGATGTTGGCATCTCGGACGACGAACGAAGCAGAAAGATTCTCCGGCTTGGCCAGCACTTTGTAAAGAACGGGACCTGTAGCGGCTGGGAACACCGAAAGCGGGGTCAGGCCGCTGGAGGAAGGGCAGGAGTGGGACCTGAGTGTTGTCAGCGTAGGAAGTCTGGGCAGACTTTCCACGGAGCACGGGGCAGCCATCTGGCCTCAGCAAGAAGCACGGTTTCAGATGAACCTCTGGGACTTTGGGGGACAGTATCTGAGCAGGGCAACTAGGGGCCAAGGGCTTCTAATCCTTTGGAAATGGTTTTGAGGATCTGGCTTTGGGGATGGGAAAAGGAGAAAGAATTCTGCCATGTGGCAAGCACTGGCCAGTTCTCAGACAACAGAACTCAGTGTGGTGAGAAGGACAGATATTAAAGTTATCCGAACAGTTGTTAGAAGTTACTAGACAGAGCTTAAGGGGCTGCCTATGAGAGGGACTGCAGGCAACGGGCTTGCCAGGAGAAGGGGATGGAAGGGGAAGACACAGGGTGTGGAAAAATGTGGAAAGATAAGAGGTAAAAACAAAACAGCTGACACGAAGGACGCCCAAGACACAAGCTGTATATAAAGGTCTGTCTCTATTTCTAAAGGAATCCTACTGCCAGCAATACTAGTATTTCCAATGCTTTTAGAATTATAAAATAATGCGTGCCCTTGTGCATACATATATTACCTCCCAACTAGGCTATCCTATAACTGAGAGAGCGGGTTTTGTGAAATGAGGTTTGGCGATGCTTCTGAGGCAGCCCACAGACGTTGGTGCGTCCAGCCACACGTACCTGCCTCTCCGGGGCAGCTGAAGTGCTTCTGGCTTTTCCCCTTCAGAGCAGAGCACGGCGGCGTCGTGAAGAAAACGGTTTCTGCCTTGAAGCGGCCCTTGGGCCGTGCGGGTTGGACCGTCACCTTGTATTTGCAGGAAAATGCTAGATCTTGAAGAATGATGTAATTTTCCTAGAGCAAGAGAGACAATATGCTAGGCATCAGGCATTAAAAAGAAAAATGGGCAGGAGATGACGTCATATTCCGACAAGGGTATTTTCCTGTGTGTGTGTGGGGAGGCTAGGCGAGTGGGTGTGACGTGGCCTTTCTAACACGTACGCAGGAGGCACTGTCCGTGCTTAGGTGACTTACAACAGTGCCACCCTCCACGGCGTGGGATCAGCAGCTTGGGGGTATGGCAGCAGGGCGGGCGGGTGGGAAGCTGTAAACACAAACCCCATTATTTTCCAGAGAAAAAGCGAGCTCCGGCTTCTCCGAGACAGGCTTAGGGTGTATGTAAGTTTACCTTTTGAACAGATGAAGACAGTCTTGAGTGCTGAATTTTTACCCTCTTTTGGAGCTTCTGTGATTGCCTCTTGCCCTAACACGAAATACGAAAACCAAGCCAAGCCGCCAAGGACTAAGAGGCTTCGAATATGGCTTGACAGTTACATGGAATGATGACGCAGGGGTAGCAAGTGTGTTAAGGACGTCCCCTTTTACACGCATCTGCTATGCTTCTCCAATCTGGTTGAAGGTATCAGAGCTTGGTGCTCGTGTATCAGAGATGCAGATGAATTCTTTGTCTGCTTCCCCTTAGGGGGAGGGGAGGGGTCGCTGACAGGCTGTAGCA